GCCCCAGTCTTTGCCAAGTCGGCTCTGCATGCCGATTCCCTGTTGCAAAGTTCGGTGTTTTGATGCTTTCAAACTTGCCGAATTCTACAATCCCATTGCGTCCATTCTCATCTCGGTCAATAACCACCGCTTGAATCACATGACTCTCTCAAAATTCAGTCTTCTGTGGAACACTGTTTCACATCTCTACAGTCTCCTTGTACTCGCGTTGCAGTCGCTGACCTACCAGTCTATTGTTTGCTTGTCAACCGCGTCAGATTTTTGCACGAGCGCTACTATCAAGCTCACCACCATGAGACGGTCAACACGACCCGCGCCAACCTCTGCGAGCTTCTTGCTGGAAAGATTTTGAGACGATTCGACGAGGAGCATCCGGGACGGGCTGGCCTCCTTCTTTTGGCCAATGTCCTTGTCGCAGGCTTTGAGCCTTTCCAAAATGCACCAGCCGATGTACTCAGCGAGAGCCGCCATTCCTTTGAGTGGGCCATCCAGGACAGAGGCGGCTACGAGGGCAAGTTCACCGCTCTGGAAATCGCCATCATTTCTGAGAGCAAACACTTTCTGAGCGGCTCCGCTTGTCAAAAGGTTGTCGACGCCGTGTATCGGGGAAGAGTCGTCTATACGCCAATCTGCTTTATAGACATCATCCCCGACCACTACAAGCACAAGCCCGTGCGCTTGTACAATCCTCGCAAGGGACCTGTGCTGAATCACTACCGCCTGATTGTGCCTCGCACCCGCAACATCATTGACATTGTTCAATTCCTGATTCTGATCGTTCTCTACGCCATCGCCATGACCAACCGGGATCACACCCAATGGACGGGTTACGAAATCCTGTTTGCCATTTACGGCGCCGGATGGTGTCTCGACGAAAGCGCCACGATTCTGGAGCATGGCTGGAAGGTCTACACGCAGAACTTGTGGTCTTTTCTGGACATTACCTTTGTCGGAATTTACGTCATCTACTTAGCGATGCGACTGTACGGCTCGACACACGACAACTTGGAGGTCTCGCGGCAAGCACTCGATGTCTTGTCTGTGGCTGCACCCATTCTCTTTCCACGTCTGGCCTTTAACCTCATGCCCGAAAACATGCTCTTCATCTCACTCAGAGCAATGATGGGCAATTTCATGCTGCTCACCCTCATTGCCGCGTGGTGCTTCGCCGGTTTCTTGCTTGCTCTTAGGTGGTTGAGTTTCGGCCAAGTCCCGCCAGATGAGGATCCTGACGCAGAAACGTCGAATCCCATTACAATTTCCAAGTGGATGCTGTACATCTGGTTTGGTCTTGACGCTACCGGCATCGAGCAAGCGCCCAACTTTCATCTGATCATGGGACCAGCGCTCATGGTGGCTTTTGCCTTTCTTGGCAACACCCTCTTCCTTACAATTCTGGTGGCAATTCTTAGCGACACTTTCTCCAAAATCGCCGCCGACGCCAGCGCTGAGATTCAATTCCGACGCACGGTGCTGACGTTTGAAGGCGTCAAGTCCGACTCCATCTTTGCATATCGGCCACCCTTTAACGTCCTCGCGCTTCTCGTACTGGTTCCGCTCAAGTTCGTCGTCTCGCCGCGGTGGTTTCACAAAATCAATGTCACGGCAGTGCGCATTCTCAACCTCCCCATCCTCCTCGCCATCACCTGGTATGAGCGGCGCAATCTGTGGAACCCCACGCGCAAGCCGCTTGCGACGACCAACAAGCGTCGCAAATTCTCGCTGTGGAACTGGGCGCGGTTTAGCGTGCACGGCGACATTCAGGCCGTCTTTGAGACGGAGATCCCCACGCAAGTCCTCGACGACATTGAGGAGCTGGACGAGATTGAGGACGAGGTGCCCAACTGGGGCGGTGCTGCTGCCGGAAATGGGCACCAGCTGAGGCGCGCGACCACTTTTGGTGGTGCATTGAGGAGGTCGAATAGCCCGACGCCCATGAGTCCGCAGGCGCGCACGTCGACGAATCAGACGCGCCGCAGGCGCATGTCCAGCATCGTGCCAAACGCGGATCCAGGATCGTGAGTGAGACAGTGGTCACGCGCGTGGCCTGTCTGGCTTGGCCCGTCTTTGGCATTGGATAGACACTGTTCCCGATCTCCTGGACCCTTCTTTTTTCTTTCTTTCTACCTCTACCTTTGTAAAAGTACAAACATAGATCGTGGTGGACAAACATGACAGATTGATGGACTACAGGGAGCATTCATGCACGCGTGGTCAAATCCGCGCGCGCAAGGCCCGGGGCTGAGCAATCGGCTGCTCGATGGAGATTCTGTACGATGGAAACGACTGATGTATGATGGAGAACGACAAATTGCGAGGCCAGATAGCAGGTGGTTAGTGGTGTGTTCACCAGTTGGATGGAGTTGGATGGAGTTAGGCCGGTGGGGTAACTATATGTGTACCTAAAAAATGACATGAAAACAGGAACTCGATGCGTGTGGGTTGATGTTGAACTCGACACGGGGATGCTCCCAGACGCGGCAACGGTGCCGGGGCATGGACTAGACTGAACGAGCCATGGGTCATCAACACCATACAAGGAGAGTATGACAGAGCATGTGCAGGAGGGAGCATCCGAGGTCAATGTTGAAAGAGGCATTCACGAATGCGGTGTTTCTCTTCTCGTTCATGCCTGATTCTTCCTTCCGTTTGCTATTCGAAAGGCAATCAATATCCCTCCATCTCAACAATCACAGTACGAGTTTGTTCATTACGGCAAGCACTCATGCAAAAACTGCTTGAACAAACAAAGTACTTTCGCCAATCAACAAAGAGGTTCAGGCCTTGGCGTCAACAACCATCCATCTGCACGGCGCATTACGCCCTCTCCCTTCCAGCGTCCGCCTCTAAGCATTTTCCTGCCGCCCTCCTCTGCCAATGGACAGCTTCTTCGCCAACTGTCACGCCTAGGGCGAAGGCGTCGCCGCCGGCGCGGGCCACTTCTTCGAACACGACGCACTCGCCTTCTTCAACGAAGCCGGACAACACCTGGACAGAGCGGGCCAGGAGAGCAAGCGCGGCTTCGAAGGTGCCATGAGCGAGGCAGGCAAGAGCTTCGAAGGAACGCTCCAAAGCACCGAAGACTTCTTCAAGCACAGCACCCCCGACTTCTTCACCCAACACGCCGACGCCGCAGCGGCGCTGCTGGCCAACGCCGACGCGTTCTTCATGGACGGCGAGCACGCCCAGTGGCTTCGCGAGGCGGTGCAGCAGCTGGCGCGCGGCGTGAGCGCCTCGCTGTGCGAAATGCAAATCACGGCGCGCCGGACCGCTTCTTCGAGACTGCGCTCGACGAGTTGGCGATGCTGTCTTGACTGTGCAGTGGGACCAGATTCCGCAAAGGATCCGGACGTGGGTCGAGCAGCACCCCTGGCAGACGGCGTTCTACGTCGCGTGCGGCGTCGTTTTCGTTGTGCCAACGTTGGCGTACGGTCCGGCGCTGGGCATGATGGGCTTCTCCGCCGCTGGACCCGTGGCTGGTGAGTTTGAAGCTGGACCGGGCTGTAAAGGGAGCTTTTTGCCAATTAGTGATGGATTCAGGCTCGTTGGCTGCTGGTATCCAGTCGACGTTTTCGCCCGTCGTGGCTGGCGGTGTCTTTGCAACATCCCAGAGCGCCGCGATGGGTGGATATGGCGTTGGTCCCGTTGCTGCTTTGACTCAGGTTGGCGCTGTGGCTGCGATGACTGCCGTCGGGCTGTCATGTCATGCTGTGGAAGGGAGCGAGAAAGACGATGAGAAGGAAGACTAGAAGTTACCGTGAGATCAGGCGAACGAGTCGCGTAAAATGGCAATTCTTCTCGGGGAAGAGGTAGTTTCCCTTCATTTCTTTTTCTTTTTCCCTGCCACATTGAAGGTTTTGACTTGATGTGTCTAAACAACAGCTCCATAGGCGCATTGGTAATAGCGGGTGGCTGCTTTTCACGCGTCACTATGGTGGCAAATGGCCGCCCCCTAGGCACACTTGTAGCGGTGAAGGAACGCTTCCGGTATGGATACCGCGAGAAGGTCTCCTGTCTTTCAACATCCAATGTGCTGCAGAGTCATGATAAGTAATCGAGTCCCAGGAGCGCATGAAATTTTGGCGAAACATAGTTTTGCAGTGCTGGAATACGAGAGAGAAGCTTGCTCTGCGCGTAGGCTTGGTACTGTGCTCGCTTCGGCGTCGTTTCGCCTGGCGAGAGCCTTTCGCGCCAAAGTCTTCGACCTCGACGCTGCAGCATGGAGGAATCTTTGCGAGCGCATTTTGTTTGGCTCGGCGCGCGGGGCCGCTTATCGGGCGGGCACGGAGCCGCTTGTCCGACGCATAGTAACCTTGTACTCGCATAGATGGTTCGTTGCTTAAAAGCCGTATACGAAAGCGAGATCAAGAATGGCAAAATTAACGCGAGAGGCCCGGCGTCGCCAATGTTTTCTGGGGTATGGTTGGCGTTGGCTTTCTTTGCACGACACCTTTATTACTATCGGTTTTGTGGACGTGGGCTTGATGGGACAACGGGGAGGTCTCATTTCTTTCGACGCCACCTACGACGACATGTGGCGTCCTAGCCCTGCTGATGATGAAGAGGGAAGACATTCCGTCACGAGCTTCAGCCCAGTGAGTTTTGCGTGCTGCTTGGTTGAGAACCCGAAAAAGGGGGTAGGGTGTAAGAGGTCACTTCACGTGTGACGGGGTGACATGGACTCTCCGACGTGGAAAGTTACACTAGCATGTGGATGGCTCTTCAAAGCAAGCGAGGGAAGGGAAAACACCGGTGGATGCGCCTCGGGAGACGAGGAAGAAAAAAAAAAAAAATTGCAAAAGAGGGAGAAGGAGAACTTTCTGCCAGAAGACCTGAAGGAACGTCCCCTAGCTCTCCTTGCGCCTGCCCTGCATAACATGATGTTCTTGCTAGCCAGGCACAGCGCTGGAATGAGGCAGTGGGCCGCCGATCCCGTGGAGTGTTTAAGTGGAGCAAAAGGATGGCAAAAAGAAATGTCCTGATTATCATCAGGAGATGGTCTCTCCGACGGGGAATCGAACCCCGGTCTCCCGCGCTTGCACTACGCTGTAATGACAAGCGGAAATCATCACCACTAGACCATCGAAGACTTGTTGAGAAAGACACTGAATGTTAATTATATATTTTGTATTAATTGCAGAAACCCGCACAAACAACAGCAACCCGTAGTTGCGGGCTCTCGTATGCCTTCTTTACAGCTTTTTTTGCAAACAACATTCATTGGAAGGTCCATTGTATACCTATACGATTGCTTCGATGCAATCTTCAGCTTTTGGCGTGTGCCGTGGAGATCTTGTCAACTTGGCGATCGGTGTCTCGGGAAGAGATGGCAAGCGCTATCCTTGCAAATTTACCATGCAGGTACACAGCTTACAATTTAGACTTATCGATTTAGTGAGTCTATGAGGTTAAAATGCTAAACAACACAGCAAGTCAGTCAAGACTCGGGATGGCGATTCGAGAGATCTTTGGATTGGACGTCCATGGCTCGGAGTTAATGCACGCAATTTAGATAAGCTGCGTCCTCGGACCTAAATCCGCCTGTATGTTGGCCTTGATGTTGGCTTGTTTTTCTACAGTTACCAACCCCACGCAGGCGCTTTCCTTACCAGCGTGGTTGCGCAGTAAATTAGACCTGGAAAGGCTAGCGCTGGACAACGACCGTTACTCCGTCGCCGTCGCACGCCTTGCGGCTTCTCTTCTGCACACCGAGTTTATCTTCAGCATGCTCTGCTCAAACCTTCCGACCAACATCTAAACACTGCACTGTCTTCGAAAGATGTTCAAATTTGGCAATGACATCGTCAAGTCGTTCCGAAGCATGTCGCACGCGTCAACAGCTGCCCATCTTGCCACCAACTGCCGCACTGCCGCGTCGCCGTACTCTTGTCCGCAAAGTGCCAACCCAACCTACACCATCCTGTAACCCGACCGAGCCTAATATTGCTCGGACTCACACGTTTGGCAACTTTTGCTGCGAGGCACTGTAGTTTGCAGAGTTTCTGACCAAATATAGTCGATTTCATTTGAACGCCTCCCCAATTTTTGGAATGGTGGGAGAAGATGAGGGACGTTATATGGTCAAGCCCGAGCCTCATGAATATCATGATAGCTGTTGAGCGAGGAAATCACTGACCCCTTGAAACCATGGGCAACGGCAACGGCAAAATCTTGGCTCCATTCTGGTGTTTCCTCTCCTTGTTTGTCTCATTTGTCTGGTTTTCGTCGTCGGCTCATGGAGCACCGCAAGGCGCTGCGCCAGCTCCTCAATCTGTTCAATGGGTACGCACTCTCAGATGACCTTGCGCGCCAGGCCCCCAGCGCTACTGTTGCTAACTTGACTCCAGCATGTGGGCATGAACCTGAGGTTCTACATCGCACCCGACACAGTAAAGACTCCCAATTGTGCGGCCGATGTAGCTGGGGCAGACAAAGACGCCGGCCTCCTGCCGATTTGGTCAAACGATGGAAAAATTGTGACGACGAAGCCTGCGGTCTCCGGCCCAAAGGCGTCTTTGAGCTTTCGTCTGGTCAGCGGATGGCTTTCTGACTCTGCAAAATTCGACTCGAATAGCCAGACTTTCATCAAAGCTTCCGAGCCCTTTGCGGTGGGCGGCAATTGCTGGATATCTGGACAGGGCGATTTTGTTGAAGAGCAACCATGCGGTGCAGACCGTTTGTTCCAGTTTTATGTGAGTATGCATGAGTGAGTTGCGTTGGCATCCACAATTCTGACGCCATGTCATAGATTGAACAAAAAGCCACCCCTGGCAACATGCATCTCATGCGCAATGCCGATGTCATGCACATCAAAGTTGACCCGAGCGGAAAATTGATTGCAGTCAACGACAATGTGGACGCCAACGTTTGTGTCTACAGCGCAAAGACAGGCGCGCTCGTCACTGCTCCGCCGCAAGATTTCCACGTCCCAGCTCCCGAAATCACCAACCTCATCGGCCAGAAGGTGCCGCCGAGCAACCAGCCCGTCAACGAGTACGAGCTTCCTGGATGCGATGTAGAAACCAACACGAACCTCGACTGCCTCATTGTGCGGGCCTACAACTCCCTGCCCAAAATATGCGAGACAAAGCCTCACAACATGCAGTGCGTGCTGCATCTTGCACCAGTAAGTTGACGGCCCAGTCCCATTACTTACAGGCCTATTATATTTCCAACTTTACTCATGCCTGCAGGCGTTTTGCTTCGATGTACCCGCTCGTCGCTTCAAGAAGGATGCGTCGGTCGAAGTGGAAGCTTGCATACGCGCGGTTTCGCTCGGACCGTGCGTCGCAAATCCTCCAGGAGGAGCTTGTGCTTGCGGCTTGTTTGCTGGTATCGTGCAGTTTGTTTCCGGTGGAGGCCAACCGGGAAAGATGCTCATGGCACGTTCCAATGAGCATTCGCTGGAGAGGAGGGACGGCGGCCTTGGTCCCCTCTTTGGAGAGCCCGAAAACAACTTGCCTCTTCTGGACCAATTTTGGGTCGGTATGTGCATGTCTCATGCTCGCTACATCGCACTTTCCTTTGCTGCCCTATTGCTGATCAATCATAGGCGTCATGAAGAGCTTGATCAACGGGGTGATCGATCTTGTCAACTTGTTGAAGAATGGCCTTGTCTACTCGGCGCGTTCGTCGTGCTACAGCATGACCTTCAAATTGGGGCAAGACCAAAAAGCCGTTGAGAAGACGCGAGAAGGTTGCGCTGAGGTCTTCAAGCCTCAAAAGGTTCACACTCGCACCACATCCACTATGGGAAGGACGTTTTCGCTAATCAAGACTAGCCCATTCCAACAATTCCGTATCAAGGTGAGATCGAAACAGCCGGTGGCATCTTTGCCGATGTTGTTCAAGTGATATTTGCCGTCAACGACCTGGCTCAGGCCGCTGGCGCAGCGAAATGGGTCGGCAGGATCAGCGAGGTCATGACGTACTTCAAACCGAAGGTGTCGGGAGCAGGGAAGATTCTCGAGGCAGAAGGAAAAGGTGGAAAGGTTCAGCTCTTCAACGACTATGGCGATGGAAAGCCCGTGCCTTTCTACACCGAAAAGGCCATCAATGACCTGAGAGACTCAACAGAGCACAATAGTACGTTCTCAACCTACTGCAGCAGGCGTCAGTGGAGATGGCAACTCCTGGCACTGCTGCTACGTCTAGCAAGCGGATGTTTGCCACCGTGGGCGCTCCCAGGTCGATACCATATCTTTTGATACTTGCTGCATCCCCTATTACAGGAAGTATACCTGACCAGTTGAAGCATTCAGGAATTGTGGCGCTTGTGGAGGAGGCATCAGGAAGCGTCAAGGTGGTGCCGTCACGAAGCTCTTATGCTGCAGAGCTACACCCAATCGGGAGCTTGAAGTACCCGGCGGTCAAGCGCGAGATGCCAGGCAGCAGAAGGTAATGGAAGGGTTCAAAGCCCATGTCACAATCGACGAAGCGATCCCCCAGGCACAACGCGTCATTGGAAATGCCTACCCAGCATTCGGAGATCCGGAGGCATTGAGATTGTTCCAGGAAGGCGCAACACAGTTCAAGAACTACTACATCAACGGGCGTCCAGATCCTCCTCGCATCAGCCGAGCATTCCAAGTCTTCTACGACAACCTCAAAGAGATGTACGAAACGTTGGCGACAAAGCCCTGGCTTGAAGATCAGTACGGCAAGGTGTTTACAGACGCCTCGCGGCAGATGTGGGGCCTCAATTTTGACGAAGCAAAATCTGTCGCAGATTGGGTTACCTCTGGTGCACGCGACCACGCCAATCTTGAGGCTGCTCTCCGCAAGATCAATCCTGTCAAAACCTGGACAATAACCCAGCAGAATCCGCCTACGGAAGTCGTTAACATGCTGATCAAAGCCGAGTCTGGTATGATATCCAAAGGTCCGAAGGGCATCTACACATTGAGAGGTACGTTTCATGCACCAAATGTTTGCGTCCGTACTAAATGATACGCGTAGACATAAAACAGTCATCAACTGTCGCCGATATTCGACCCACAAACCCAGAACCAATCGCCTTCTCCACAAGCTTGGGGATGTTTCCAGCGTACATGCCAGCAACGCAACCTGTCCGCTTTGTTGTCCTCTCCGAGACAGGAAGATACGTAGCCTCGGTCACGGGAACTGGGTACCACGAAGTCTTGTTCTACGAGAAATTGTGCGGCAAGTTCCAACTGCTTGGGTACGAGGAAGTCAATGGAGGTGTACAGGCGCTACGAGAAGGCCGCACGCCGCCATTCCTTATTTTCTAGTGAGTCTACAGCATTCTATGTGAGAGTTGAGCACTGACTTTGAGGTAGCTTCCGCGAAATCGAAGCTCCTGCATTCAATCCTGTACCTGAGCCACCGAACCTCCCCATCATTCGAAAGGTTCCGCAATGATTGACGAGGCTTGATGAAAGTGTGAAACGTTTTCAGGAGTCCTTTGAAATGTGTACTGATATTTGGTCGATGGTTGGTTCTTAACTTTGTGTCAAGTCATCCTAAGTTGTGGTTTAGGGAAGTTAATGCTGTCCATATTGACGTTTTGGATGATTCCAACGCCGAGTCCGACGCGTGAGCGCTTTTGTAGTTAGACACAGTTGCGACATGAGATGCAAGACAATTTTCATATTCTGGCATCATAGCCCCTGTCATCATATATCACTATGGAAAGACTCAGGAGCAGTCATTCAGAACCGCAGCTGGGCTCAAGAAGCTGTCCCTCAGGAAGTCAGACCAATCGGGACAATCATCTCGTTCAACTCGGATGTATGAGTTGAATGAACGCTTCAGGGCTGGCCCCCAATTGCTATGCAGAGCTCGGCACCGTACGACCCTTGTATTGGTCAGCTTGACAGTAGTTGGAACAGTTAAATGCCAGCTCTGTTCCCACACTGCTCTTGATGTCGGTCGTCATATCAATTCTCCCCAAACTAAAAACCGCTGCAATCGACTATTCATTTACACTGAGTACAACACATAGTCTCGGCAATCATGACAGATCAACCCACCGACGTCGCGGCTCTTGCCACTATCGATATTCTCAAGATCCTGAACCGCGACGCCGCCGAGCAGCGCAAGCTCTTTGAGGCTGCCCAGTCGCCGGGG